CACACACACACACAAAGCAGTTTGTGGTGTTTTAGAGATAGCTTTACTGCTGTATTCTAAGATGCTTTGTGCTGGTATTCTGCTTGCAAATTTTCAGAGGCTCTTTCCGCTGTAGATCTGGATGCTAGTGTTGTTCTCCAATTATCAAGCTTGTACAGTCAAGTTCATTTAAATATATGTGTGTATATTAACCCTTTTATAAACTGAAGTGTGGTAGGAATGAAAGAATTGGGCCAGATGCTGTTTTGGGGGTCTTTTTATGGGCTACTTATTGTTAAGCAAAACTGAGATGCTAATGTGATGGTTTTGCTTCCACAAATAGCTAGCTCGGTGCCTCAAACTAGAACATATTGACATGTTGTGGTTTGTTTAATGGTTTGGTTATACTGTATTTCACTGACATGAAAAAGTGTAAAAGTTCATGTTCTAGATCTTTTAGAGGTGTAAGTCAAGCATTTCAGCGTCTTTGTAACAGGTTTTATTGTGATCAAAAAACTGACTGTAGGGACACCGAGATAATCAAGTCACTGGCAGAGTTGATGGTAGTCTTGGACCATTCGTCTCTTCCTTTGCTTCAACCTCTGATTTTCAGTATTACGGCTTTCAGAAGTTTTTTAAAAGTTTTCCAATATAAGTGCAGACTCGACAGGGAATGTATCTCTGTACTGTTTGATAGTAGGCTTGCCTGCCCCCCCCCCCCCCCCCCCCCTTTTTGTGTGTGTGTGTGTGGTTCCTTTTCACAACTCTCCAGGTAGTACATGGATGTCTTGTGATCTAAAGGCCAAAGGTTGAAATTCATCAGATTATACAGTTATGCAACATTCCTTTTCGTATGTTGTATGAAATGAATCCAGTCATGATTGGACTGTTTCTTTCAAAAGCGTAATTTGGTCTGCACTCCTGTCGTATTGTTCCTGATAGTTCATTCTGCTGTTCTGGTTGGTAGTTTTTAATTTGTATTTTAATGACAGGTTTTGCAAGACTCCTTCATGCTTCTCACTTGTCTTAATAGTTCCAGAATATTCAGTTGTTGTCGTATATGGCAACTCTAATGGGGCAGTGGGATGAAATCAATCATAAATGGAAACTACTGTCTCAGAGCAGTGAAATTTCAGCTCGGTGTCTGATAATCATGGGGTAGTTGTAGGATTCCTCTTTCTTAAAACACTTTAAATCTAGTACAGTGATTTAAGAAAAATCCTGTGTTGTCTGATCTATAGCTTTCTGTCACATCTTTTTACTTGTACATTGCCTTTACTCTTAGTATATCCTAAGAGTAAGTAGAAGGATTAGTACTTTCATTGAACCTAAGCTTCTAACCTAAGAAGTCACCGTAATGTTTGTTTTCCCGTCTGAATTCCTTGTTGATTTTTCTGCAAGAAATATATTTAAGAAAAATATATTTTAAAAAATTCTAACGTTTCATGAGAACAAGCTAATACATGCTCAGTTTGCTTTTTTTAAGGTAGGGCAGCTTAAAATAGTTGTGTGCAGTATCTGAGAATGACAAGTTGAATTTTCTTGAATTCTAGGTGTTATGTTTACAACAAAAAGGGACGGCTGGTAAACGCACCGTATGTGGACAACTCTTACAAGTGGGCTGGTGGTGGCTTTCTGTCGTCAGTAGGTGACCTTCTGAAATTTGGAAATGCCTTGTTATACAGTTATCAAGCCGGACAATTTAAAAATACTAATGGCAAACTTCTTCCTGGGTACCTCAAAACAGACACAGTTGCAATGATGTGGACCCCAGTGCCAAAAACAGAAGTATCATGGGACAGGGATGGTCAGTACGCAATGGCTTGGGCTGTAGTAGAGAAAAAACAACAATGTGGCTGTTGCAGACAGCAGAGGCACTATGCATCTCACACGGGTGGTGCAGTGGGGGCAAGTAGTGTCCTCCTAATTCTTCCTGAAGAGCTGGACTCTGAAGCTATAGATACTGGGCTAGTGGCACCACCTAGAGGAGTAATTGTTAGTATTATCTGTAATATGCAATCAGTTTCACTCAACAGCACTGCCTTAAAGATTGCAAGGGAATTCGATAAAGAAAAAAGGGCACAATATATGGATTAAAAAAAGAGATACGTGTAACTGAACTCACTGTACTGAAACATGAAAAACAAATGGAGAAGGGTGTAATTGGACTCCGAGATCATTAAGAAAATGTGAGGAAAAAGCATCAAAAATTCACTTAATTAACTTCTGCTAGCGGTGCTAAACTTACGTGTAACTGGAATTCATCTCTCAGGGAAGTTCCTAACTTACAGAAAAGGAGAATGTAACAGTCAAATTTGACTTCCTGTAGTACCTGTGTAAATTATCGTTATATTAGCAGGTTTTTTCCTCATCCAGTCAAGCACTTGACCAAGATTAAAAAAACTAGTATTGGTTTCCTGCACTGAGAAGTACAACAAATTGTCTACCTTAAATGTTAAACTTCTGAAAAATTTCACATCTTGATTTGAGCACACAAAGATGTAATTAATTATTCCCACAGTTCCAGTCTGCCAAAACTGTTCAGTATTACTTTTTAAAGAAAAATGGTTTTACTGTTGATTTGTTTTTTCACATAGCGCTTTTCTTATTTGCTTAAAAAGCAAAAAAAACCAACAAAACCCAAATCTTCAAAGCTACCTCCAGAATGCAGATTTATACCAGAAGTACGCTTTTGTCAGAGCTGTGGATTGTTAAGAATTAGAAAAGAATGACGCTAGAGTAATGCAAGTAAAAATCTTTTTGTTATTTAGATGTCTCTCTTCCATTTTTATTGGACACAGAGAATGTGTGAAACTAGTTTACTGGGAAAAAAGGGTATTATTTCCACAGTCGAATATGCCCGAATAGCACAACACGGTAAGCTGTCAAACTGTCTCATTGTTTTTGAATGATACACATGCTAACTTTGGTAGCCAGAAATGGCACTGTATTCTGTAATGTAGATATTCCTTTAGATGTAGGAATTAGGAACTCGCATAACTCTGTAACATTTAAAGCCCATTCTTGAAGCCAGTAGTAGAAGTCTCACAGACTTTGAGAGGTTTTTTTTGAAAACCATCCTTTTTTCCATTTGGAGACCTGCCTCAAGGACTTTTGCACAAGGTTGAACAAGAAATTGTGATAGAGTTCCAAATAAGCATTTTCTAATCTTCAATTTTACTATAAGAATACAATAACATCTGAATATGTTAATTTTATATATTCCATGATGGCATGGAAGTTCTCCATGATCTCCAAAATCTAACCCCACCCCACGTGCCCTGCAGTTATATCAGACTATTTCCAGGCTGAGGCAAAACAGAGTATCCTTCAGGAAAGGTTTGAATACTTACGTCCCTGCACTGTTTAGCAGCTCTGCTGCTCTGAATTTAAGGAGCAAAATGTCTTAGATAACAGCTGGCAGAAGATAGCCTTACCTGCCTCTTTCCCAAGTTAGTGCTTTTTGTATTAACTTCATAGTTGTTACCTGCCCTGTGATGAAAAACATACTATCATCTCTGTTCCCAGTATGCCTATGATTGATAACAACATTTATTACCTAAGACTGACAAACCAGGAAATTTAATATTTTGAAGTGTCAGTGTTTACCTACATTTTTGATTGAAGCTAGTAGGACTGGTTTAGTACTTTCCATAATTACAACCATTCGTGTGCCTTAGAACAGTAAAAGCTTACACCTGAACTATTTGCTTGGGTTTTCTCGCCCACTCACCAAAACTTCACTGTTTTATTCATTAATAATGGGTTGTCTTTATCTCAAGAATGTCACATCAGTAGAGACGAGAGAGAACCTTTCTGAACAAACTTTCATTTGGTCAGGCAATAAATTACCTACTCTTCCACTGAAGTCTTTGAAATTGTTTGACAGTTCCAATACATAAGTACTGGACGTAAGCATCTTCTACAACAGCAACATTTTTTTTTCCAGTCTTGAGCACCTACTAGCTGAGTAAACATTGAGCAGCAGAAGTCATTGCCTGTTTTACACAGGGAACAAGAGTAAGTAGTTCTGAGTTGTTTTCATGTTGAAGAATACATGAATAGACTGAATACAATGAAATAGACTGAATACAATGTTTTAAATATAGAAAAATCTGAAAAGTACGCTGTTATTTTAGGATTTACAACATACTTTTCTTGTATGATGCATCTGTTTTGCAAATGGTATTTATTGTTCTTGAAAACCATTCTGCATATTTGAGAGAAAACAAGTTTCACTCACTGACCATTGTGTTTGGGTTTGGACAAAGATTCAGAATGTAGAAGGCATAGGTTGACCTTTATGCTTGTCTGCATATGACCAAACACTAATAAATGTAAATATTTGAAGTACGTATGAAAGTGAATAATGGTAAGAAGTGTCTACGGCATTTTTAACACCAAGTTATTAATGACAAGTCTCACTCCCCTCATAGAATATGTTTAGCCACCAACTTTTTATATGCGTACCATGTTCTTTTTACTGTATCCCCTGCAACATAAGGCTTTTAAAAAACCTCTGTTGTCACATGTACAGTATTGGAGATGCTACGATGTCTAAATTTCATCTTCTAGTGCCTGGAACAAAATGGGTCACTGACTTTCTCTGATTTGGTATTTACTTAATCATGAGTTCTTATCTCTTAGGGTGGAGGAGGAGAAGGCAGAGATACGGGAGACTAGGAATCAGTCTGGCCTTAGCACATGTATTCAGGTCACAAGTGAATTAATACTGCTACTTTGATCTTTGTTCTGCAGCCAGTTATTTGATGGACTGGCATTAAGTGTGGGAAACTGGTCAATTAAGAGCAGCTTTCATGATAAACTTGCTCTTAAATTAACCTTTATTGTGAAAACACAGTATAGCACTGACATAAAACTGTACTTTTCTTAAAAGGCATGTATACTAAATTGGTGTATCTATTTCTGTATCAAACACCTACTTTTTGCATCTGGTAATTGTAAGTGTTCACAGTTTGAATTAAATAAAACTTATCTTGCAAGTGCAATTAATTGTAATACCAGATTTTGGGGTTTTTTTATTGACTAGAAACATACAAGTTTTAAAAGTCATAAAAAGAATACAGGTTAAATAGAAATTCCCAACAATAATTAGCTTATCAAGACACCTGATACTTTGAAAGAGATGTTGATACATAACTTGAGATATTATTTAGTAAAATAAGATACATGTAAGACTTTGTTTGAATGTTTTCTCGTGGTTTAAAAAAACAAAAAATCCACTTTTTAACAGCCATTTAGAAAGGGATGGCTTTTAAAAACTAGCTAAAAACCTGTTTCCTCATTGCAAAAAGGTAATTATTTAATGTCAGTATTTAATACTGAAGATATGCATGGTTTTGCTGTACTAGGTTTTTTTTTTTTAATGACTGGATACTATTCACAGCTGTTAGTGTAGTTTGCTGACTTACTGTTGCTTACATACCATATACTTTCTCTATACTGAATGCTTTCAGTGTTTCGCAAACGACTATTTTTCCTTTTTTAAATAGATATCTCAGTATAGAATACAAAATGCAGTTTCAAGACCAGATTGAGGGAGGGAAAAAACATGCATTCCAGAAAAAGAGCTGAACATAAGTGAGTAACTTTATATTTTTATTTATCACCATGTTACTCAACACGGTAAAGGGACTAAAGAAATGCTGAAAGCAAATGAGCCATTTTAAATCTATCTAGCCTTTGCAACCCTTGCAGTTAGGGTAGCTGCAGTAATAAAGTATACAAAATGCATTCTTACAGCAGTTTCTGTCACGATATGCATTACACAGCTGTAGCTGATAATTAATGAGGGGAAGGATGTAGCAAGTCCAAGGTTTTTATATTAAATGACACCACCCAATTAACAATACACTGTTTAAAAGTAAAATTATAAGAATAGAGCTCAGTTGTCTACAAACTTGCAGGAAAAACTTGCACTTCATTCATTGAAAAAGAGATTCCAGCTTATTAGGCACCAGTAGCATGTAATTTTTACAAAATCAATCTTAATTACATTGTTGTATTAACAGGCATTTTTAAACTGTTAAGGCTTTCAGGAACACAGATCCAAAACCACATGCCGAAGTGTTCAGTGTTGCTTTCTTCTAAATGAACAGCCTGTAAAGAAATCACACTAGTATAGATATGAGTAGTCCTTAAATTGTTAGACTGCCTTGGGAAATTGCCCACCCAACTTAAGTAGGAAAACCCATGCAACAAACTTAAATTTCATGTACCACAAGAGATGAAGATTTAGCATTTTGAGTCTTCTCTAACTCAACCAGAACAACATGGCTGTCATATAATTCATCTTAAAATAAGGCTAAGGTGTACTATTTCTTTTCTTCCAGATGCCTTTTAAAATTTCAGTCTACTGTTCCATCCCTTAGTGATACAAACCCCAAACTGAAACAGCTGCTAGGAGTGTTGATACCTTTTCAACTGCTCAACAGCCTTACTTCAGGCATTGTGACCTCTCATAAACTACATCCGTATAGTAGCACATGGTGTAAGTACTACTATATGTAATTTGCATATATATTTATCTTTTTGTCCTTTAAACAAAACATGAATAAAATCTGGATTTGTTATTTAATTTTTTTAAACCCTCAAGTGTTTCCAGTGGTTTTCATATACCCCAGACATCGAGTTGCATTTCAAGATACTGGTGCTATACCAGTTATCCGTGTATAATTATCAGTGGTTATCTGTTCCCTTACAATTTACACAAAACAAATTTTGATTAAGTAATATGAGCCAGGGAACTGCCTTACAGTACTACTGTTTAAAAACAAACAGGCAAGCCACCAATGACTAGCAGCGGCACAGAATCACTTTGGACTGGCAAAAGTACCCTACTCCTTTAATGGTGCTTTTTAACCATCTAAACTTAGCTCAGAATTAAATAGGCAGTATTTATTACAGATAGGCTAAAGGAAACAACAGTCAAAGCACCTAAAATCAAGTATGTTTGATCACAATGTAGCTGCTTAGCTGCCTGGCATACCTGTGTAGCTGTTTAAAAACAAGAATCTGAAGAAAAATTTGCAATTCAGGGCCCATTAACAATGTTTTTACTAGCCAACTCTAAGCAATTTGCAAAATAAGCGTTCCAGTATCAGTTTTCAAAATCAAAGCTAAAATATTTGCAGGCTGTCAATGCATTTATGTAAGTGGAATATTTAGGTTGCTAAACATTGCCCCTTACCTTCTGTGAGCCTGGCTTTCCCCCCAGTAGGCTGACACAGGACAGTGGAGCACCCTACACAGAGAACTACTGTCTGAGCATGGCTGAATACAGTGGTGATCTTGTAGCATCCTGGAAAACAGCATTATTAAACTTTCCATTGAGTATTTCTAGCATGATTTTTTTATTGTATGTGTAATTGAATCAGATACTCTAAACACACCTGTCCAAAAATTGATCTATATTTCATTACACAGTATACCAAGTAAAACAAAGCAAAACATTGTTATTGTGGTCTGAAGTACTTGCTTTTACTAACATGCATATGAAAGCAAGTTAGTTAACTGAAACTGTTATGACTCCCCATATGAAAATCAACACAGCCTGATGACTGACAAGCCCTGTAGTATGTCTCCTGCAAAAAAGTCGAGGAGTTCTAGACTAGCCTTCTCTGCCAAATAGAAGAACCCGTCCAGCTAGAGAAGTATTTAACTTGTAACAGTAGAACATTGCTGTTGACAAAGTCTGGCAGCTGCGAATGTAAACACTGCTGTTCAAATCTGTGTTTGCTTTCTGTTTAATAATTGGTACACATAAGGCATGTGCTTGGTTGCATTCTACAAAGCTAGCATCGTATTTAAACGAGAAGACTTGCACAGAATAACTTCACTAATTCCAGATGCAAGAAGAGGCACCAGCAACACTTGGTCTACAACTTCTAAATTCTATGACTTAAGAAAGAATGGAATGACTCTCATGGCTTACACAAAGGGATTTTCACTGCTTTCGTTCTTTTCCCTGAAAAGTACTTTTAATTAGGCAAGAGGAATTTTGGGAGAGAGAAAACTTGTAAAGGATTTCATCTAGATGTGGATATAGAAAATAGGCAAGTAAAGGTGAGCATAGGTTCCATTTTTAGCATGTGTGGACCAGAAAGATAAGATAGAATATATGCTGTGAGGAAGGTCCTCAGAAAGCTCTCTGACAAGACAACCAGCTGGTAGAGAGAACTCCTATTAGAGTAACAGATTTCTGCTTTGTTTAAGTCACAAATAGTAACTGCACAAATCTGTTTGCAAAAAACTGCTAGCAGCTAAAATTTAACTGTAGCAAGTGTTGTGTGTCCCCCCTGCCATGAACGTGAACTTGCATGTTGATGAGTTTTTAACTTTGTGGATTTTGCAGGGAAACGAGCCCAATCCATTTCAGTAACTAGGCAGCAACTTCCAACAACACTGAATGACGCATAAGGCCATCTGATATTTTCAGTGCCTCGCGCTTAGGACTCTGTCATTATTGAAGCTCTCCTGCTTTGCTCTATATATCCCTCAAACTCAATAATCAATTAATCCAACAATAATGAAAATAACCAGTGACCTCTGGGCCTACGTTGACATGAACTGTATCTTAGTATATGCATGCATGTACACTGGTTTGAAGAAAGTTTAAAAAAAAAACCCAGTGGCTTAGCCTTCAACCATGTTATTTTTTTTAAAGTAACCACACTTTACTTTCAAACGGTTTTAATGAATTTACCTCACTTTTAGATGGAAAACAATGTCCTGGAGCTTCTTAGAAATCTAAGCTACTAAGAAAGAGTAAGATAAGAAAATCTGAATAGAGCAACAGTTCCCTGCTTCTAGTCAGTAAGTCTATGCATTTTCTTACTGCTCTAATCTTATACTGCAGTAGTTTCTAGGAGGTAAGTTACCACACTTGACAATTTCTGTGCCTTGATATGCATGTAGCTGTGCTGATCAAAGCAGTGGGTCACTGGTAGAGCATTCTTCTGTAATTGTGCTAGAAAATCCCATGTTTTAGTTTATAAAAGAGGAGTTGGTTATACAGATGTTTCCAAGCCAAACTAACGAAAAATCTGTGAAAAGCGGGCACAGGCAACACCTTAAATATAACCCCTGCATATGCGAGCTAGATGTCAGCTTACTTCTTAACAGCAACATGCGAAAAAGGCAGTTGTGTATGTTTTACTTTCTATGTAAAGTCCCAGTATGCCTGCCTATATCCTCGTCAAAGTTCTTCTGGTTGCTCTTCCAGAATCAACCCACATACAAAAGGAGGAAAACAATGTTGTCTTCTATTTGAAACTTGTGCCGTGGATGCTTTAAAGCATCCATTTCATCTCACTTCTTATACATGCAAATCTGGGGGTTCGGTTTTTTCCCTACTTGCTAGGATTTCATAAAGGAAAAAACCCAACCAAAAAAAATTACCTCATGCCAGACTTCCAGAAAAGAAAATAAAAAGCTGATTGTTTAAATTAACTTTTGAAAAAGGTTGAAAGCACTTTTATTGTTAAAAAAACCCAAAGCAATATAGACTTTCTCTACAGAACAGATAAACCACAGTTAGAATAGAAAAAAATTTAAAACCCCAGACCTTTTATGAACCGCATACAAAATCAGTTTCATTGCTCCTGTGAGACAGAAACATTCTGAATATTTACCTGGGCATTTTACATCCATAAAGTAGGAGTTTGGGCTCTGCACAAGCCGTTTCTTTTTGTGCTTCCTCCTCTCATCCTCTAAGGAGGGATGCACTAGATCTTTAGCCAGCTGGGTAGGACAAGAGGAAAAACGCGCGGCGTGTTGAACAGCGCTCGGGCGGACCGGATGCCGCCTTCAGCCCGTTCCCGAGCAAGGCCCTAGCGGTACGGCCAGCCTCCCCGGCGGGGCTGAGGGTGACGGGGATAGCGAGACCCCTTCTCGGGCT